GAAGTGACCGAACACGCCAGCTCCAAAGAACATATTCTTATGGCGTAATGGACCACTGAGGAGGATTTGAGGTGCCTGTAATTTGATGACATTCTGTTAAAAATTACCACAGTAACAAGTGAACCCCTGAGGCTGGTTTGAGATGCTTGAAATTTTATGGCATACTGAAAATTATCTCAGCAAGAATTGACTTGCAAGATTATCTGTTGTAAAATTCAAGACAGGATTGACAATATCTCAAAGTTAAATAACATGCAGATGAGTCAGGTGTGCCCAGGTCACCCCATTCTCACATGCGCATGATGCAGGATCTTCTAGAGCTACCTGTTTTTCACGGTTTCATGGTTATGGTTTTATGGTTTCATGGTCATGGTCATGGTGGGTCATTTGCTGTTACTTCACCCCCAATATGAAAAGCGTGACAGAAGACCCAACAATCAGCACAAGGGGCCAGGTGTGCACACGTCTGAATAAAATGCCAATGCGAAATCAAGTGTAAGCTGTGTGCAAAACATGGGGGACGTAGTCTATGTCGGGGAATCCTTGCACCCTATTCGTTTGAGATAAAATGAACACCTGCGAGACGCTTAAAACAAAACAGGGTGACCATTCCCCTTTCGGCGACCATTTTTTTTGGCAAAACACGCTAAGGCCGAAATCGAGGGAAGTATGCACCCTATGCCCCTTTTAGATCGCAAATTCTGATTACCAGCGTGATTCCTGACACAGTGCTGGAGATAGCGTGTGTGTTTATTGTTTCACTAGTCAAATTGGGTGGACTGATCTTCCCCGGCCATCAAATCAGCCTCAACCATAAGCAAAAATGCTGGCCCTTCCACTTGGGTCAGGATCGAAGCTGCCCCAGGCACCCCACTGACCGATCTGCCACGTCTCACAGACCCAGTCAACTCCTCCCCTCAAGCCAGTCAACAACCGGTCAGCACGTCCCCTCCACCGGATTTTAGAGTGTCACTCCGGCCATCAGTCGACCAGTCCCTTGCGCCACATTCGTCAAACATTAGAAGAAGTGTCATGTCATAACTGTCATGTCATAACTTAAGGAAAATATCCACTCACCATTATATGCCTCCGACAACTTCGCTTAATAGATACCGGAAATGGTTTTGCTCTGGAAGAATGGGTGGTTCTCGGTGGTGCTATTTTAAAACCTTGTATTTAAACTTTCCTAAAGAAAATAAGCATTGTAAACAACTCTAGATAAGTTATATAAACCGCAATCATTTTACGACTACCCATCAAAACAGTTTCATGCGGTTTCCTTTAAGCTTAGGCTAAAAGGCCTCACTGCAACTCGGTTACAGCACCTGCTTTTAATCAAAACAAAGTTGTAGTGTGCACACTTTTCGTACAGATGACACTGGAAGCGGCACGCTGAGAACGTTGTGAAACTTTTAAATAGTGTCAAAATGTTCATGGCGGCATGCCGAGAACTTTGTTCAATTTGCAAAGAATCTCAAAGTCTCCGGCAAGTGGGCCGTCCCTCCCCATGATTTCGTCAAGTGATACACTGGTCTCGGATGAGACCACTCAGCAAAATGTGTCATCCTGGAAACCGTGCAGCAGCATCCCAACAGGACTTTTAGTGGAAATTCTCAAAACGAGTTTTCAGTGCACGATGATGACATCGTCATGGTCGCGATAATTTGGCGTGGTGATCGAGGTCTCGAGGACCACGAGTGTGCTCCGGTTTTTTTTAGCTGAGCAGCACCTTTTTTACCGCTCAGAGGCGTCTCATGTCTCTTAAGACTCTCCTGTCCTGTCGCGACTGGTGGGCGCGTCTGGCCAGTCAGCACCTCTGTCCACTGAGGGACCTGTGACGATGACAGACGGGTGAGGAAACCACAGAGAAACGCGTGCCTTCGGCGTGGTAAAATGAGTAACTAAAAAGCGTGTTAAGGTTTTCTGTGAAAAGGATGCTATGGTCGGCTGGGTTTGCTGATAGTTCGGTTCAGTCAAATTGCTAGAAACTCATGTCAGGTCATTGTTCAATTGGCGACAAGTGTTTAAGCTTAAGCAACCAGCTCTTGCATCTTCGGAACTTCAAAATGTGTAACAACATACGAGGCTTCCAGTTATCCTCTCGCCTGCGAGCTAATTTTCATAAGAATTTCTGCTTGTTTGGCGAAAAATTCGTGATGAGAAGAGAGCGACCAAAAATAGAGTTTTTAAATTCGGGAAGGTCGCCTTTTTACGCTAATTGGTGCATTATGGCCATGGTCACTGGGTCCTGGACTTTTTCGTTTTTTTTCTGGAGCTTCGTCTTTTCATGTGTGATGTCTAGCGGTGGTGCGGAAACCACAAATGGTTGCGTATTAGCATGAATTGAGGCCACGACTTTTCGGTGGCCACGGCATCCTACAAAGTTTCGCCAAATGTAGAGGCTGGAGCATCGAGGACAATCCGTTTCACATGGAATAGATATGCTATCACGCATGTAATATGTGAATGCTAGTGACCACGTTTCACGGTGACGTAGTGCTCGTGTTAACTACGGTCAAGTCAGCTTTGATGCGATGTGTTAATGTTAGCTTAGCATGCTCACTCATCAAATGCCTACCTGACAAAACCTTCCGTTTTGTGAGTCGTCTGATTTTGAGACCACAGCGACTAGTGCATTTGATTTTTCATCAGAACTTGAGTGCAATGCCGCTGGCGAATCAAACAATGATTGTTGCAACAACTGCCAGCATACTATGAAAGGACGATAACACAAGTATATGTGTACTCCCTCCCATGTACAAGCACTGCACAATCTGCCTTTTGGTCCAAAATAATAGCTAAAGACCTCGTGCCAGATACCTTTAGAGCGATGTCTATTACACCACTGTAAAATATGACATACTGATCTGCTCAGCCTTTTTCTGTTGTGGACAGCAACGTTTTGGAAGCCCGATACGAAAAAAAGGCTGAGTGTGAATTCGATAAAAGATTGTCGCATGGTGCCAAACTGAGTGTAGAACAGTCACGACTGGGTCGCGACGAGCGACACTCTGTAACGCTTAGAATTGTTCACGCACTAACCAACGTTTGCCTGTAGTTAAGTCATGACTAATACTTTGTTGCGTTTTGGAGTTTCCCCAGGGTGTAAAATTATCACGTTTAGGTTGCGTGATTTTTGATGCCAGTAATTTTTTTTTAAAGCGAGCATTGTGTCAGCTGGAACATGTTATGCGGCGATAGCAGATGTATCCAACTTAAATATGCTCATGCAACGCTAATTTTTTTACCGCTCTTATCATGACAATTTGTGCTATAACTCAGCTGCTTGCCTTTTCACGATGGCTTATGTGATGTGTGAATACTATGGCCGCAGTAGTGTGCCACCGGGGGTTATTCTGAGAGTCTTAATTTGTATTGACTTGAATCTGAGCCTGCTGTTCGTGTGTATGTGTATTATGCTCTTCAGCAGACGGGATTATTTGCTCAGCATGCTGTACAGCTTCGCTGGCGCATTCGTGCCATCGTCTGCCGCAGCGTTGCGGAGTGCTGACATGTTCCGAGGTACAGCTTCGCTGGCGCATTCGTGCCATCGTCTGCCGTAGCGTTGCGGAGTGCTGGCATGTTCCGAGATACAGCTTCGCTGGCGCATTCGTGCCATAGTCTGCCGTAGCGTTGCGGAGTGCTGGCATGTTCCGAGATACAGCTTCGCTGGCGCATTCGTGCCATCGTCTGCCGCAGCGCTGCGGAGTGGTAGCGTATTCCGAGCTAAAAACTGAAACCTATCCGCATGTAGAGGACCTCAGTAGGTGTCATTTTCCGCACAAAAAAACAAACATTGTTTTAGAGCATTGTCCCGTTCACGTCCGCTAGGGCGACGCTATTGTCTCACCGCGACCCAATGCACTAGCGACAGATGTGAGGAGTGGCAAAAGGAGCACCGCATAACTAAATCGGTGCGATAAAGGATCGTCGGCTGGTAGGAATAAAGATATGACGATCAGAAGAAAGTACGGCAGCCTTCCGGCCATTTACTTCCAGAATAACGTTTCGTTGGGTTAGTCCTCTTCAGCGCGTTAGGTTGCCTTTTGTACACCGGTTGCATGGAAAAGTCTACTAAAAGCATGTTAGAGAAGGCCCTTTGGTATTTGAGTTGGTGCTGAAATGCCGAAACCAAGCCGAGCGGCCAGCTGCAGCGTCCGTACGATGCGCTGGCCGATGGGGCCGGGGATCGGTTAGTGACACTCAGGGAACGGCCCTACTGGCGTAGCGCGGTCCTACGGAGGTGGTACAGGCTCCCAGCGTGCGGGCTCTGGGTAGGCCCTGGTATGTATGCGTCGGTCGGGAGCCCACCCGGGCGGGCCGGCGACGGTGCGTGGGCCGAGGCCGTCAGCCGCAGCAGCCCGCTGCTATCGGGCGGCTCGCAGCCACCAACGACCACCGATTAACACCAATTTATGACTCCATCGGAGCCGGCGGCGACCGACGACCCGGCCGGTCGGGCCAGCGGCGACACGAGGCCGCCCCCGCCCCAGCTGCGGGTCATAGTCCGGTCCCGGCGGCCCTCGCCCCGCCCCGCCCCGCTCCGTCCGGCCGCGGCGCGGCGGCCAGCCATCCGGCTGCGGGGTTGGGAGCATCGGAGGATGCGGGGCCGGTGCCGCGGGTGGTGTGCTGGCGGAGGTGGTGGGGTGCGATGGGCAGGGGCTTGGCACAGGCCACTGGGGTGACGGGGCCGCTTAAGGTGGCCATTGGACTTGTGGTTAGAATGTGTTTTGGGAATTTATTTCGGACTGTCTTTGTAGCGTGGCTTCGTTGTTGTCTTGCCATGCCAGCTTTTAGGACTGAGAGGGAGTCGTTATAAGGTTGATCATGCCATGTGAGGCTGGGTTGGACGCTGGTCCTGTGTCAGCCTCAAGAGCTGTTTGCAGAGGAGGATGTTGCTTTCAAATAAAAGTTTGTTTTAACTGATCGTCTCTTGGTCAGAGGTGGCCGTCCATTGCCTCCTCAGTATTTTGAGCATTAACGATGTCTCCTCTTTTTAGTGATGCTGGTTGTGAACCACTACCTGGCGTTCCAGCACTTCACATCGGTGTACTACCCCTTTCATGAGGTGAGTCATCCTCGTGCTCGTGCGAGACATTCGTCAGGTATCATGAAGTTCACGACCGCGTCGGTCTCCGGGCACCGAGGTGTTCAGCGTGAGGTTAGCCAGAAGACTACGCCTTAGTGGAGAGCGCGCACAACGTCAAAACGACTTTCCCGTGACGCATTGCTAGCCTTGACTCAACCTACATAAACTCTGTCTCTGAACGATCGTTCCGTCTCTGGGAGCGGCCCATCTGCCATCCCGCAACAGCCAATTGTCACTGAGCGCTCCCCGCGGACTCGGGCTGCATATTGCGGCCGGCCGCGAGCCACTCGAACCGTTCGACGGCGCCATCGATTGCTCGCCGGTGGTACTGGTCCTAGCTTCATCCCGCCTCGCCGAGACGGACGGCGCGCCGCCGGCGCCACCCCCGCACACCTGTCAGTGGCGGCCGCACCCCCACTCCATCCCCCCTCTCCCGCCTCTGGCGCACGTGGCGCGGGGGCGTGGCGGCGGCGGCACGGCGCGCCGACGGTCTCGCGCGTATGCTGTGGTGCGCGCGCTCACATTCCGTGCGTCTTCTCGTGTCCTCACCAACGCACTACGGAGCGCGTGGGCTTGCGCAGCCTTGCCAGAACATCTCTTGTATGCATCGGTCGGCCCGGTTGTGGGATGCCGTCCAGCGCCGCCGCGGAATGCGGGATGCCAGCGGCTGAGCGGCGCCGTCATCGTGTGCCGGCGCTCGTCGGTCGTTCGCGCCGAGTCCTGCGCCTCGCTGGGCGGCGGGCGCCGGGGAGTCCTGGCCGCGTCGTGGCCACCGACGGCGGCGGCAGCAGCCGGGCCTCATGTCCGCCGCGGCGAAAGAAACACCGCTCACCGGCCGCTGATCGCCGCCGGCGCAACAGGCGGCGGGTGCGGCGAACGGTCGCCGGTGTGGGAGAGCAGGCCTCGCTGGTTCGGGCAGGAGCGAGCGACGGCGCTGGGGATCAGGCCTCGTGTGGGTAACTATTGATGTATTGGATGGGAGCGTGCGATCGCTGCCGGGTTTGTTGGAAGTGCGGAATTACTTCTGCGTTTGGTGGGAATGGTCATCGATTCTTTGTTTTTCAATAGCAAAGGGGTGCTGATATACATAAACGTGTGGTTGAACGTTTAGGTATATCAGCTTATATCAGCCATAGACCTCGAGGGGCCCTTTGGGCCCCGCGAGGCCTATGATTGATTGCCCGAAAAACCGAAGGTTGTATTCAGGGGCACCGGCCCGCAGGGCCGACCACTCCAGTGTCAGTCAGGGGGCCTGCGCGCTGATCAGGGGCACTCGATAGTCGATAACGGCCTACACATCGGTCAGACACCACCAGTAACGCTCAGTGTTCTCCCTGTCGGCGTGGGCCTGAGAGCCCATTTCTCAAGCAGGGTACAAAGCCAGAGCCAATGAAGTACATTGGTTGGGGCCCCAGCGGCTCCTCGGGCCCCACGGCGCCTAACAGGCTGTCCTGTGTTGCCAAGGGTCCCCGAATCGACCAGAGGCAGTGTTCGAGGAGGCCCGAAAAGCCTGGAGAACCCACCGTGACCGACGATGAAGGGCCCGATTGGAGGACCTTAGGGCACGGAGGGCTATTCGAAGTTAAATGACAGCGAGAGGGCCCTTTGCGCCGACCGAGGTCCCCCGAGTCGATAAGGGCACAAATGTCGGTCAGGCACCACCACTGCCGCACAGTCGGCTTCGTGTCGGTATGGGCCTGAGGGCCTACTTCCCAAGCAGCTGCAAAGCCAGGACCAGCGATTTACAATGGTTGGGCCCCTGTATCTGCCAGGGGCCCCATAGTGGCCAACAGGGGATGCTGTGTTCACAAGGGGCCCGAGCCGACCAAGGGCAGTGTTCGATAAGGCCCGAAGAGGCCCGAGTGGGAGAGCATAAGGGACCGAAGGACTGGCTATAGGTCACGGAATATCGCAGCTCGTAGAGTCATGACCTGAAATATGAGTCAGAGGGCTTCCTGGACCGTTTGAGGACCCCTGAGACACTACGGGTGCCGTAAGTCATCAAGAGACCAGCAGCACTGAGCAGTTTGCCCCGTTAGTCAGAAGCCTGGAGGCCATTTCTCAAGCAGGAACAATACGAAGGGCTACGATTTGCGTTGGTCTGGGTCCCTGAAGCCATGGTGGGGATCCCCGTGTCGGTCAAGGGCTCACAGTGCGTAATAGGTGGTCATGTGTCGACCAATGGCCCAAGCCGGTTACGGGCTTTGAGGAGGTCCAAAGAGGGCCGAAGAGCCCCTCGAATCCAAAGATCGAGGGCCACATTGGAAGGCTGAAGAGCCTGGGGGACTGGCCGTGGGTCACATTAAGGACGCCCCCCGCCCGTAAGAGAGTCTTTTGCATCGATTGGAAACACCTGCGACAGTGCAGACCTCTCTTTCGGCCAGGGGCCACCGACGCTCAACAGTCAGCTGTGTGTCCGTCTGAGTCCTGGCACGTCTGAGTCCTGGCAGTCCAGTCCCCTTTACCCAGGCACGAGCAAGGCCGGGCTCGCGATTTTGTTGGTTGGGGTCCCTGAAACAATGAGCGCGTCGCTCACGGGCGCCTGTCCGCATGCCGCGTTCAGGCGCCTGGTTATGTGCGTTTGCCGTATGTGTATGGGCTGTCTCATATTGGTTTGCTTATATCCTGTACTACATCTCGATGCTCTTCTATAAAACCTAATGCGGCTAGGTCGCCAAGGGTTAAGCTACTTCCATCACAGCAACTGATACCCATGGTGATACTTGTGTACCTTTTACCGGCCTGGACATATATAAGGTAACATTAACCTATATTTGATGCGATTTGACAGCCACCTCCCGGCGTGATTTTCGTTGTTGTACCGCACTTGGTTCTTGAGATAACGGTTCGGTCCACGCTCGCGGGGCTGGGCACCTGTTACCTGGTTTGACATGTCACAGGCCCACTGATCGGTTGTCATCGCTGTATGAAAAGGTACGCGCCGGGCTGCCCAGTAACGCTTCTCCGCTAACACATGGTTCGAGGATACAGAAAATGCTTGTATCCTCACCGAAGAGGTCACATGTTTCATCCCGTTGATCTGGCTTGACGCATCAGAAGGCGATAGCAGGCATGGTCAAGGACGCGAACTTTTGCAGTGTTACATAGGCTCTTTTGTTCTTTGGGTTAGAGAGGGGTGAGTCCGTGAGAGCCTGTGCAACCTTTTCTTTCAGCGATGGTAGGAAATCGCCCATCCGACTGAGTTGGAAGGCGAGCTGGTATCCAGAAGCATCAAAAGTGGTGTGATCTTTACATAGACAAACGGTTGCATCTGGAATGTTCTACCCCCAAGCGCTTGACCCACCAGGTTTGGCCAGACGGGATCAAATGAGTTTTTCACTTGGTGAATGGTTTTGGATGTGTCCACAGGTTAAGCCTAATTCGATTCGAAAATTACCGTTGTCTCTTTCAAGGGCTGACGTTATGGATTATCAGAATGTGACGTCATGACAAGGCAGGCTGCCGCTGGCCTCGGCTTTGATTTGGCTTTCACCCTGCGGACTTAGTCTGAACCAGACCATTTTGGACTGGTGTTCGAAGGATTGGGATTGGTTTACGGTGGGCGCCTTCTGGAAGGCAGTCGCACTTGGCGCTATTGTCACTTTGGTGGCGTTAACCCGATTTGTGACGGAGACAGAAAACGCATTTTGCCTCTCAGGTCAAGTAGTCATCACATTGGCGGCGCCACGGACAAAGCGAATGAAAACTTGAATCGTGCATGCTTCGAAAATGACTGATCAGATTATATGAATAGTTTCTGCATATGCTTACACATGCGAGGCCACGCCTAGTAGTTCTGTCACGGAGGGTTATTGGGGTTGTTTTGCTGGGCTCCGAAAGGAAGACGTGTTTTTCAGTTGTCCTCTGCTGGGGATGGTGTGATGGAACACGAAGAGTCTACGGAAGAATGTGATTTGCAGCTGGCGCATACGTGACGTGGTGTTTTGTGGTTTGGCCCCAGAAAAGTAGCCAAGACAGGTAGAATTCAGACAGAGCATTTTGTCCTGGAACATGGCGCGACGCGGTCAAAAACATATACGAAATGGGTCCCGCAGTATGCTGATGGGTCCACGGATAATCCGCGTAGATATTGCTGGAGCAACCATTTTTTTTGGTTTGGGGAAGTTGTAGGATCGCTGCTGAGCGGTGGGAATGGTTATGAGACCACCTTGGAGGTCTTGTTAACGTTGCGGTTTTATTTGTCCTTAATTCGTTAGGTCTTGCACCCTGGAGCTTTTCTGGAAACTGCCCCATACGTTGCTAGATCGATTATGACCAGTTTTATAATGAATCGGCGTAGCTTCTTCTTCGGCGTCGACTGTGATTGCGACTCGTGCCATTGTTCCAGCGGTGCTGTAAATACGGTTTGGGCTGCAACTGTATTGACTTCGATATGATATAATGGGTCAAATAAAATGGATGAAATGACTTTTCGCGGTTTTCAGTGTTCGCGGTCGTGCAATATGTCGCACAATTTCGACCAGTGTCAGCCAGCCTGAAATAAATGGTCGGCGAGCGTGATCGCTGGATTGCTGGCTATTTCTCATATTGTTCTGCGAGCGGGGGCGATGCGTTCCCGTTTCCTTTATGTAGTCATTTTTTTGCGGACGTCGTTGTGATTGAGTGTTCACAGTCATACTTGTCTTCTTTTTATGTAAGTTGTTAAGTGGGTTTGCGAGAGTTTTCAGACATTTTTTGAAACAGCGAGCCACAGTTTTTACGGAACAACATCCAAGACATTACACAAGCAGCAATTACCAGCCGTTACTACGTTGCTGTGTATGTGTGACGAAAAGTTAGAACACGCGAAAAATACGTGTACACGCGGACAAATTCAAGTAAATTGGCATCACGCACCACGCTGCATTGAAATGTGCGAGCAAGCTCAAGCAAACAGGCATCACACATCACGCATCATTTATACATACCAACGATTTCAATCAAATAAGCGTTATGCATCACGCGTCAGGCATCACCTT